GGATTAGTGCATTTTGCGATCCACAAGTATATAATCCCCAGATTGTATTTTTGCTTCTAAGTATGAAAATTAAATACATATTAATGTAAACATGTATTTTTTTCTGTTCTTTTCCTTTCCTTTCTCCCTCCCTCCCTCCCTCCGTCCCTTCCTTTCTTCCCTTTTATCCTTCCTGGCCAAACCCAGCAGTGCTCAGGATCATATGCAATTCTGGGAATTAGATCAGAATCAGTTTGCATCAAGGCAAATACCTTAAACCCTGTGTTCTTTCTGGCCTTCGTTTTTTTTTTCTTTCTGTTTTTCTTTTTAAATTTATTTTTATTAAAAACATTGTGATTTACAAAGTTGTTCAAGTATTTCAACACCACCAATGTGACCTTCCCTCTACCAGTATCCCCGGTTTCCCTGCCAATCCCAACCTGCTCTTTTGGGCACATAATAAATTTACTTCATATTACTTACTCCAACAAAACTTTAAGAATTGGCAAATAAAATAATCAGAAAATCAATCAGGAGCTGGAGCAATAGCACAGTGGGTAGGGCATTTTCCTTGCACGTGGCCGACTTGGGTTCGATTCCCAGCATCTCATATGGTCCCATGAGCACTGCCAGGAGTAATTCCTGAGTGTAGAGCCAGGCGTAACCCCTGTGTGTGCATCGCCTGGTATGACCCAAGGTAAAGGTAAAGGTAAAGGCCCTCCCGTTGATCGTCGATTTGCTCGAGCGGGCCCAGTAACGTCTCCATTGGAGACTTTGTTGTTACTGTGTCTGGCATATCGGATACTCTCGGTAGCTTGCCGGGCTCTCTGAGAGGGGCGGAGGAATCGAACTCGGGTCGGCCATGTTGGCCGCTTGTAAGGCGAACGCCCTACCCGCTGTGCTATCGCTCCAGCCCCCATTAACAACACTTTAAAGGCAATTCTGTATTAATATATTTTGGAGTTTACATGGAATAGGTAAGGCCTATTTACATATGTAAATATCCCTTGGGTATGACCCAAAAAGGGAAAAAAAAAGGAAATCAGTAAGGGCCAATTAGTGATTACTATATGATTTTGATCTGTGTAAATAGGAAATTAAAACTTAAAATAAAAATTAAAAGTGTATATTCTCATTTACATATATACATTTTCAATTCTGGAATCTAAAGTATATTACTTTAAATTTTATACTTGGAACTCATTATGGTAATGATTTCTCACCTGTCATTAACAACACTTTTTTTTGGGTTTTTTTTGCGCTTTTTGGGTCACACCTGGAGATACACAGGTGTTGCTCCTGGCTCTGCACTCAGGAATCACCCCTGTTGGTGCTCAGGGGACCATATGGGATGCTGGGAATCGAACCCGGGTCGGCCACGTGCAAGGCAAACGCTCTACCCGCTGTACTATTGCATCAGCCCCCATTAACAACACTTTAAAGGCAATTCTGTATTAATATATTTTGGAGTTTACATGGAATAGGTAAGGCCTATTTACATATGTAAATATCCCCTTACACAATATATAAACACTGTGGTTTACAAGGTTGTTCAAGATGATTTATTATAGGCATTCAATAATCTAACACCAGTTCCACCACCTTTAAACCTTTCCTACACCATTGTCTCCAGTTTTCCCAACCACCTCTGAAGCCTGTCTTATAGCAGGCCCTCAGTAATTTTTTTTTTTTAAGTAATTTATTTTTTATTGTTTGCTCTCAATAGTTGGCCTACGGAATGATCAAAAAATGTTTCTTCAGAAAAAAGTTAGTGAAATTTGTTACATATTACTATGGTGCCATTAAATCCTTGTCTAAGAGATTACCAAGATATTACAGATTTACCTTCAATATTTATGTTTTATTTTTACTCGAGATTGGTTGCTTCCTACCTTACATCCTATTCACTCTGGTGTGCTGTTAAGCTCTCTTCTCAGAGCTTTATTTCTGAGTGTTTTAGAGTTTAAGATGTTTCTCCAGAAAGTCTGGAATGTTTAAAGAAGTGATACAGCTGGAGTTAAATTTTTAACTGGGTGACGGCTTGGGATGTGTGCAGGACGGCTGGGCCTTCTGGAAGCACAGGGAGATGGGGGCAGGTAGCCCATCCCAGCTCCATAAAAGCCCGGAGATTTTAGTCACAAAACCTGCATGCCTGACTTTTTCAGCAGACTGATTTCTGAGTAAGGCTTTGCAACTAGTGGAGTCCAGCTGGGGGCATGATGGACACTGTGTTGTGTGGGAGTTTTTGACACCTGGGGCTCTGGGCGGACAGTGGGCTGACCCGCCCTCCTCCTGGCATACCCCTGATGACTCAGCCTTGTGCGGGTGTCTGGAAGAGTCTTCTGTCAGCCCCTGTTTTCTTTTTTTCTTAATTTAATTTTATCTTTAAAAAGTTGTTCACGATAATTCATTACATTTAATATTCAGACACATTGCACCTTCCCACCACCAGAAGAGGAAAGTGTGTGAAAAAACCTGGAGCCATTAAGTGCTCATATAAGAGATTACAAACATGTATGTTCAACCCAGACAAACATGTGCCGCTTTTGGTACATCAGTGGGGTAGAGTCTGCAAGGTTCAGGAATTCTGAAATTTAGAATACAGTTATAGAGCAGATTCATTCATGGGTAAGGTCTGTGTTGCTCTCTTCTCAGAGCTTTATTTCTGAGTCTCTGGATCTTCGCCATTGATGGGATTATATGGCGCCAAGGGCAGTTTTGTGGGTGTGATTGCCAAGCTGCTCTTGGGAGCTGGGGGGAGGAGGCCCAGTCCACTTGGAGCAAGCTTGGAGATGTCAGTCCCTGGTCCTGCATACCTGGTTTTTTCTGTAGGTTCCCTCATGGTGAGGCTCGTCCGAGCATGGCGGCAGTTAGGTTCTGGAGGTTTTCAGCTGCAGGGGCTCTGCTGGGGAGACCCTGTTTTCTTAAAGAATTGCCACATGATGGGCACTGGTGGAGGAATGGGTATTCAATCATTGTATAACTGAAACCCAAGCACAAAAATTTGTAAATCTACAACTGTACCTCATGGTGTTTCACTAATAAAAATCTAAATTAAAAAAAAAAGAATTGCCACATGATTGCTCTGAGGAAAACTTTTTAAACAAAATCTGTGACATTTTTTCTAATGGGAAAGATCATCTTGAATAGATGGTCTCCAACCAGTCTTTTCTTGTTTGTACTCACACTTTCTCTCTAGGGGACTGGAGGGATAGTACCACTTGCCTTGCACGCAGCTGATCTGGGTTTGATTCCTGGACACCCCATATCATGGGGCATCCTAGTCCCTCCAGGAGAGATCCCTGGACCAGGAGTAAGCGTTAGCACCACGGAATGTGGTCCAAAGGCAGCAAAAACCACTACACACACAAGTAAATATTTCACTTGGGAGAGTTCTTTTTTGATTGCCTATTCACCCATTAGCCCTTCTAAGCCATTTCTCATTTAAGAATGTTGTTTGAAGGGTGGGAGCAATAGTACAGTGGGTAGGGCGCTGACCTTGCAATCCTCAGCACCCCATATGTTCCCTGAGCCCACCTGGAATAAGACCTGAGCCCCACATCCCCCCAAAAATCATTCGAAAAGACTGCATACTGTAAGATGACTGTCAACCTTGAAAAATGCATGTCAGTATATTCTCTACATATTAGTGTATGACTTATGTTTACATGTACCATAAAGAACACGAGGCAGAGCAGGAAGATTATCCTTCAAACTCTATAAACACTGTGTGCAAGTACTTTTACTTGTTCTTTTTACTTACTGGTTTTCGGGCTGGAGCCATAGCACAGCGGGTAGGGCATTTGCCTTGCACGCTGCAGACCCAGGTTCGATTCCTTCGTCCCTTTTGGAGAGCCCGGCAAGCTACCAAGAGAATCCCGCTCGCACGGCAGAGGCAGACAAGCTCCCTGTGACGTATTCGATATGCCAAACACAGTAATAATGAGTCACACAATGAAGATGTTACTTGTGCCTGATCGAGCAAATCGATGAGCAATGGGACAACAGTGCTACAGTGCTACTGGTTTTTGGCCTACACCCAGCAGTGCTTAGTGCTTACTTCTGTCTCTGTGATCACTCCTGGCAGTGCTTAGGGGTGATTCTCCTTAAAGTTAGAAAAGTAGTTCAGGGGCTGAGGTGCTTGCCTTGCACACGACTGACTAATTGGATCCTGACACTCCAAGGAGGACCCCCAAAAACTTGAAAAACAAAATGAAACAAAAGTACATCCCCAGGGCCAGATAGCCCAGAGAGAGTGTTCAGTGGGTTGAATTCATGCTTTAAACTTTGTGGTCCCCTAAGTACCAACTGGAGCAACCCTCAAGCACTGCTGAAAATCCAAAATCCAAAACAAAGAAACACGCTCTTAATGACTCAAACCCAGCCCTGTTTGATTCTGAGCTATCTCTCCCTCCCCACCCCCCATAATACTGTGTAGCCTCCTTGGTTTTCATCACATAATCATGCAGTCTTCAGTCTTTTTCTTATACCATTTCTGTTCTGTTTTGTGTCCTTGTAAATAAAGTTCTTTGATAATGTAAACTCTTTAAGAGGATAGAATCCGAGCTTCTTATTTCTTTTATTGATATATAAAGATAAAGGGCTCAACAAAGTACTTTCATGATATAAAACGGTTGTTTCTGGTATTTTTAATTGACATTTTAACAATCCGAGTCCAGTTTATTTATACAAGAATGGAATTAAGAATGAGAAATTTTTTCAAAAAATGACTAATAATCAGGACCATTGCGATGACTGTGCCAAGAGTTAATCGTGGAGGAAAACAGTAATGTGTTATATAAAATCAAGATATTAAAGATTCATTTGAAGAACTTGAGACTGTTGTTTTCTTTAGTAAATTGTGGTGATACAGAGTTTCATAACATTAAAAGGAATTAATATGATTTGGGACTCTGTTTTTCTAAATTGTATATTTTTCTTGTAAATTCTTTCCTATAAATTCAGAGTTCTTTCCCTCTTACTAATTATAAAATTTATTTTTTTTTTAAATTTTACATTAGGATATGGTTATACAAGCACTTCAGAAAACTAACAACAGAAGTACAGATGCTGCGATTGAATTCATTAGTAAAATGAGTTACCAAGATCCTCGATGGGAACAGACAGCCGGGGCAGCTGCCAGGCCTATCAATGCCAGCTTAAAACCAGGTGATTGCTCAAATATTTTCTTCTAATTTTTCTTTTATAACATAGTTTTAAAGTATTCATGTTGGAGTAGGAATGTGGCTCAGTGGTAGAGCACTTGCCTTGAACCACCCTCCAAATATTAAGTATATTAAATCTTTTTTTTGTTTTTGGCTTTTTGGGTCACACCTGGCAACGCACAGGGGTTACTCCTGGCTCTGCACTCAGGAATTACTCCTGGCGGTGCTCAGGGAGACCATATGGGATGCTGGGACTCGAACCCAGGTTGTCCGCATGCAAGGCAAACACCGTACCAACTGTGCTATTGCTCCAGCCCCGAGTATATTAAATATTCACTTCTACCAATATTAAAAGCATCCCTACAAAGGTGAAAGTTTCAAGTTAGGATAACAATGTTAAGATGTTACTCTAAAATGAGTTCGAGCCTGAGGAGATAGAATAGTGGTTAATGTCCATGCCTTATAGGTACTCAATTTGGATTTGCTTCCTGAAAGACCACATGGATCCCAAACAACACCAGCTGTGGCCCTGGTGGTCCTCAGCACTGGAGGCCCCTAGCAGAACAGTATCTTCAAGCCTTAGTATTAAACCGTGGGCACAAATGACTATCACTGGAAGTAGCCTGGTGCTCCCTGAGCACCACTTGGGAAGTCCCTCCCCAAATTTTATTTATTTTGGGGGTTGTGGCCACAAACCTGGTGTTGATTAGGGTTTACTCCTGGCACTGCATTCAAGGGCCACTCCTGGCAGGGCTTGAGTGGGATCAAGGGATCAAACCCTGATCAGCCATGTGCAAGGAAAATACCCTAACCTCTATATTGTTGCTGTATGGAAGTGTATTTATTTTTAATGAACAAGAACGTGTGTCACACCCCATAGTGTTCCAGAGTTACTCCTGGTTGTGCACTCAGGGGTCACTACTGGCAGTGCAAGGGAAGCCATCTGCTCACTGTAATATTGCTCCAGCCCCTGAGACAAGATGCTTCTTGCTGAATGAAATTTACTTAGACGTGAGGGAACAGGAATCCATGTTGAAGAGAGCACAGCTTCTCCAGAGTGGAGAAAGCGAGCAAGCATTCATGTTCAAGGGAGAAAGTGAGCTTGAAAGAGCAAGTCACTATTTTTCTTCTGCGACCACAAATATTTAAACTATTCTCTAAAAAAAATTTTATTCTAAGAGTAAAACATGTTTCTCATAAAATATTTAGAAAGCGAATAAACAGAAATAAAACATCTCCATGAATAACCACAGAGTGCAGAGCCAAGAACACATCTCAGTGGGCCCATTCTCTCTGAGAGGCTCAGAGAGTCACATGCCAGTTTACATTTCAAGGCTGGCACTCTCCTGAGGGATCTCCTTTGGACAAAACAGGTCTGAAAACAAACTGGCTTCTTCCTCTCAGAGCAGGGAGTGTGTGACTGGTAGTTACTGTTGGCTCAGCATAAACCTCATCACAGTCAGTTCCTTGTCACTGTCCTCTCTCTCTTTCTCCCTCTCTCCTCCCTCTCTCGAACTCCCTCAACACTTCAAGAGGAAAAAAACACTAGTGGTGTCTCTTAAATGAAGAGTTTTCAACTTTTAATGATAAAAGCCAACATATATATATATATATATATATATATAGCACATATTGGAGGTATGCTTTTTAAAAAATCTTATCAATTAAGTATTTTATTTTTCCCATTTTTAAATGATATTTTCATGCATACATTGTTCCAACCACACACCCACCACCAAAGTGCCCATTCTTCTACCAGTGTCCCAAAGACCACCCCCCATGCACACCCCATACACACACCTGGCAAACTCAGTACTGCTCTTCAATTCTGTTGCCTTTGCCTGTTTGTTTTCCCCTTAGTGTGCGTCTTTATATCCCTCCTAAGAGACAGAGCGTGTGTATTTGCCCCTCCCCCGGCTGACTTCCCTCAGCATGATACCCTCTAGTTCTATCTTTGTAGCGGCAGATTGCATAATTTCATCTTTTCTTACACAGTGTCCTCCTGTTGTTCATCGATTTGCTTGAGTAGGCCCAGTAGCGTCTCCATTGTGAGACTTCTTGTTACTGTGTTTGGCATGTTGAATACTCTCGGTAGCTTGCCAGGCTCTCTGAGGGGGGCGGAGGAATCGAACCCGGCTCAGCCGGGCTGGCTGCACGCAAGGCAAATGCCCTACCGCTGTGCTATCACTCACTCTGTTGTATATACATATCATAACTTCTTTTTTTTTAATGTAGGAGTACTGCTATTTATTCAGCCATTGATTAAGCTGATTGAATTGGGCAGGAACTCCACGTTACTTTTTTTTTTTTAACTTTTTAAAAATTGACTATCCGTGAGATAGAGCATTACAAAGCTGTTCATAATTGGGTTTCAGTCATACAATGATCCAGCACCTATCCCTCCACCAGTGTACATTTCCCACCACCAGTGTCCTCTGTTTTCCTCTCACCATCCCCAACCCCCCCAGCCACTTCCCCCCGGAGGAACTTTTGTTCTTGCTCTCTCTCCTTTTTCTTTAGTGAATTATGGTTTGCAATACAGGTGCTGAGAGGTCATGGTGTTTTTTCAGAGAATTCAGTATTTTTATCGGGACAGTAAGGCTGGAGTTACTTTTCAGTTGGGTGGCCACTTTGTGGTGTGGATGTGACTGCCGAGTCTTCTGGAAGTACAGGGAGGTGGGGAGGAGGTAGCCCATGCCCACCCCTAAAAAGCCTGGAGATTTCAGTCACAAAACCCACATACCCAAATTTTTAGTAGATTATATCTTGGTGAGGTCCGTCCTGAGATGGTGGAGTCAGGCTGGGGGTATGGCGGTGATTTTGGATTGTGGAAGCAGGTGGCTGCTGGGGGCTCTGCTTGGGCAGGCTCCTGGCCAACCCCTCCGCCACCCCCGACTAACCCCAGTCTGTTCAGCCATGCATGGTTCTGAGATTAACTGTGGCTTTTGATCGCTTTTGAGATTTGTGGATCTCTGAAATAAGGCTAATAAATGAGCTTGTATAGGTGAGCCAGAGGTGGTTTGTCGCCGTGGCTCCCACGTATCTAACTTTTGGTTGTTTAATTTCTTGGTAAACTTGGCCCCAAGTTGTTGGGTCTGGTCAAAGGCACAGCGGCAGTTTTGGGGTATCAGGAAGCCTAAAGGCACCATCAGGCTGTTGATGCTCTTGCCCCGCAGGTACAGGTTGATCTGCCGGTGGCACTATGCTCCCCATAGCACAACTTCTTGTCCATTGTTGGACACTAGACACTGGACTAAGCACTGCAGTCCGCATATGTGTATGTATATCCTTTCAAAATGTTTTTTGTGTTTTGGAAGTAGGTGCTAAGAAGTAGCAACCCTGAGTTATATGGGAGTTCTATTCACATTCCTTTTTGGGGATGTGGGGTGTTTGGGCCACACCCAGCTGTGCTCAGAGGCTACCTGACACTTTGCTCAAGGGATCTCTCTTCCCAGTGGTCAGTGGAGCAAATGCAGTGCTAGAGATCAGCCCGGGGTCGGTTCGTGATAGGCAAGTGCCTTAACCTTTATGCTATGTTTCTGGCTCTAGGAGGTACACTATTGTGTCTTTAAAGCTCTAATGACATTAATTATCCTTTTGGGAGGTCAGGTGGGAGACATGCCTGGTGGTGTTAGGAGCTATTCCTGTCTCTGCATTTAGGAGTGGCCCCTGGCGGTGGTCAGTGTATGGTCACTATAAGTGCTATTCTGGGAATGTAGACTATATATGGCACAGGGGATTTGAACTGTGGCGGCACAGGTTATGGCCACCACAGCCGTATGTGGATATACTCCCTGTGCTATGTCTCTGCCTCCACTAGTTCCCATTTAGGAAGGGAACCGGTTCCTAAGGGATGGAGTGGGCGTCCTTTTGTACCCTTTGAATGTAGAGCTATGAGTAGGTGATGTCTAAAATTTTAACAGTGAAACTAAAAATCCCTTGCTGGATTATTTTGATTTTTGAAAAAGAATAATTTAGTAATATGGAAATGAACATTTTTCTTTCTCTTGTTTTATAACCGCAGGGAATGTGCAACAATCAGTTAACCGCAAACAAAGCTGGAAAGGGTCTAAAGAATCCCTAGTTCCTCAGAGGCATGGCCCGCCACTCGGAGAAAGCGTAGCCTATCATTCTGACAACCCGAACTCGCAGCCAGATGTGGGAAGGCCTTTGTCAGGGTCTGGCATAGCAGCGTTTGCTCAGGCTCACGCCAGCAACGGACAGAGAGTGAACCCACCACCGCCTCCCCAAGTCCGGAGTGTCACTCCGCCTCCCCCTCCGAGAGGCCAGACTCCCCCGCCGAGAGGCACAACGCCACCTCCGCCCTCCTGGGAACCAAACTCTCAGACCAAGCGCTATTCTGGGAACATGGACTACGTGATCCCCCGAATCTCGCCTGTGCCGCCGGGAGCCTGGCAGGAGGGCTATCCTGCACCGCCTCTGAACGCGTCCCCCCTGAACCCTACCCAGGGCCAGAGAGGCATTAGTTCTGTGCCTGTCGGTCGGCAACCAATCATCATGCAGAGTTCAAACAAATTTAGCTTTCCACCCGGGAGACCTGGAATTCAGAATGGTAGTGGTCAGGCTGATTTCATGATGCATCAGAACGTCGTTCCTGCTGGCACGGTCAGTCGGCAGCCACCCCCTCCCTACCCTCTCACCTCAAGTAATGGACAAAGCCCTTCTGCTTTACAGGCAGGGGCATCTACCGCTCCTTCATCATACACAAATGGGAATATTCCTCAGTCTATGATGGTGCCAAACAGAAATAGTCACAACATGGAACTCTATAACATCGGTGTCCTGGGACTGCAGACCACCTGGCCCCAGTCATCTTCTGCTCCAACCCAGTCCTCCCCAAGCGGTGGGCATGAAATTCCTCCATGGCAGCCCAATATACCGGTGAGGTCAAATTCTTTCAATAACCCTCTAGGAAGCAGAGCGAGTCATTCTGCCAATTCTCAGCCGTCGGCGACAACAGTCACTGCTATCACACCTGCTCCCATTCAGCAGCCTGTGAAGAGCATCCGCGTATTAAAGCCCGAGCTGCAGACTGCCCTCGCACCCACGCACCCTTCCTGGATGCCGCAGCCCATTCAGGCCGTGCCGCCCGGGCCTTTCTCAGAGAGCACGACTTCAAATGTGACCGTGATGCCGCCAGTTGCTGAAGCTCCAAACTATCAGGGCCCGCCACCCCCTTATCCCAAACATCTGCTCCACCAGAACCCGCCTTTCCCCCCGTACGAGCCTGTCAGTAAGTCCGGCAAAGAGGATCAGCCGAGCTTGCCCAAGGAGGAGGAGGGTGAGAAGAGCTATGAGCATGCCGACAGTGGGGACAAAGAAAAGAAGCAGATCACAACTTCACCCATCACTGTTAGGAAAAACAAGAAAGACGAAGAGCGAAGGGAATCTCGCATTCAGAGTTACTCTCCCCAGGCATTTAAATTCTTCATGGAGCAGCATGTCGAAAATGTACTCAAATCTCATCAGCAGCGGCTCCATCGTAAAAAACAACTAGAGAATGAAATGATGCGGGTAAAACCTTTTAAAATGCTTATTCGCGTGCTTGATCATCTGTTTGATGTTTATTTTAAGATATTTTTTTAAATGGATGTTTATTTAAAAGTTTTCTAAGACTGTGTTTCAGTTTTTTTAAGGCTCAGTAAACTTGGAAGTACTTTTGTTTATTGCATTTCGATTTAAGCATTTCAAAGTTTCTTCAGGAATTCCTGTAATAAATAAAACACATTACAGTGTATCATTTAGCTATACATAATGCCTTTATGGAAGTAGGGGCAAAGATGACTTTTTAGGTTCTATACAGTATTTCATAACATTTAAAATAAAGTAGAATAAAGTAGAAATATTTGGGCCCCTTTTCTTGATATATTTACTTTTCCACATAGTAGTGTCAAAAGATGTCTCCCTTTCTAATTTCATTTTAATTATATGCTGGGAAAAAATGTGCGGAACTTTATTAAACTGGTGAAAAGGAAATAATATGTCAAAACTTAGTTTGGTTAATTTGTAATTCTACATATATTTCTTCACCGTTACGCTATTGTCATCATTGTTTTTGTTTTTCCTTTCAGCTGATTTTTGGGTCACACTGGGCAGTGCTCAGAGCCTACCCAGCATTTGTGGCCACGGATCTCTCCTGGCAGAGTTCCGGAGTTTGGGGTGCCAGGGATGGAACCCGGGTCTGCCGTGTGCAAGGCAAGAGCCCTACCTGTTGTACCATCTCTCTGGCCCCGATTTTATCCTATGTACAGTTCAAAGGTTTGATTCCTAATGAAAGAAATCTATTTCAAATTCCAAGAAACATATTTTTTATGGTAAGCCTTTATCAAATACTTTTGAGAGCCATTTTTTTTTTAATTTTGTTTTGTTTTGGTGTTTTGGGACCACACCCAGTTGTGCTTAGGCTCATTCCTGGCTCTGTGCTCAGGGATCACTCTTGGCAGGCTCAAGGAACTATACGGAGTGCCAGGGATTGAACCCGGGCCACGTGCAAGATAGGCACCCTCCCCAGTATGCTCTCACTTCGGGGTGAGAGCCACTACTTTAAAATGATTTTTCTAAATCTGATCTTTTAGAATTCTTATTCGTGCTACAAATTGAATTTTGTTAGCTGAGATCGCAGCTATGATAATACATGATAATATGTATGACATCTGTATTTTAGCTCTTAGGAATTCTTACTAGAGTCTGTCTGTATGTATTTCCTTAGTTTATTTTTCCTTTTTCCTCTTCACTTTCACTAATAGCTGATTTAAACTTTTATGGTGTTGGAAGCTTTGCTGACTTCTGTAGCCTCCATTACTGTGTAGGCAAGTAAGATTTTAAGAGAAATGGTTCTATACTAAGTCTGGCATGTCACTCTTCTTAAACGATTTTGCATGCAAATGCGTATCCTAACAGAAGCATGAGGTTGCTGTTCTTTATTTAATCTTGCATTTCTAGAATTAGACTCGACTTTTCAAGTAAAACTACTTTTCTATTTAAACCCTGAAATTAGTTCTTAGCCAAAACCAAACTTGTTGTACCTTCTAAATCTGGGTTTTCCATGTCTACTGAGAACTGGGTTTCCTTTTCATCTGTGTTTTGGCGTCTTTGTAAGTCACAGTGACTATTCTTGAGATGTGTCATAGCATCTCTGCTGCTCCCTTTGTGGCACACGCGTTCTCTTTTCTAAGTAAGACAGGACAAAACCCATTTTTCACAGTAGCGGCTTGAGTTCTATCCTTACTCCAATACCCCGAGAAAGAGAAAAGAGAAAAGGAACTTTTTCTTTCCCCTAAGTTGAATCACTGTGAGTTACAAAGTTACTTATGATTGGGTTTCAGGCACTTCATGTCCCAACAGCAGTGTCCACTTCCATCCACCAGTGTCCCCAGTTTTCCCTCTTCCCGTGCTCCCTCCCCCATCAACCCTGCCTGTATGGCAGGCACTTTATACAGTGAGTGGACACTTCCCTCCTCCAGTGTTGTATTCACCTTCCCTTACCTACTGCCACTCCCAGCCCCCAGTGGCAAGCTTCCCTACTGGAAGCCAGAAAAGGGATGACTTTTTCATGAATGGTTAGGCTACAGTAAATATTTTTTTTTAAGTACATCAACTTTGTAGAATAAATAAAGTTGGCACGAATTGTATTGTTGATTTGGGTTTTTGGGTTTTTTTTTTTTTTTCAGTGCTCAGGAATCACTCCTGGCGGGCTTGGAGGACCATACATAATATTCAAGTTCAAACCTAGGTGGGCCTTGTGCAAGCCTCGGCCTTGTGCCCTGGTCAACCGTGTGCTTTACTGACTGTACTATTCAGCCCCTAAAAGAGACTCCCCCCCCCCAAAAAAAAAGGATAGAATGGGAGAAGGAAAGCCTATGCATTTGAGACCTAGACATTTCACAAAGATAAGCACATAATGAAAGTGGTTTAATAATTTCCTTTGGGGTGACTATGCATGAGAGATAGATGAGGATGCATGTTAACACATGTTTGGTTGTTGCACATTGGGAACTTTTTTGTAGGGGGTACATTAGAGAACACTAGAAAGGTTGCTTCTTTCCACAGCAGAATCTGCATACGTACTCACTTTGTATATCCTCTTAACTAGCTCTTAAGCTGCATTTTTTATCATTAATTTTCTTCGAAATATATTCTAGATTTCTAACATGCCTATTAAAAATTATGCATTTAACCCTAAAGTACATGCCTGAATTTCTTCCTAGCTGTTTCTTAATAGTCAGTATAGCTACTGCTTCCTCATTTAACATAAAGTTTATTTGCCTAGGTTGGATTATCTCAAGATGCCCAGGATCAAATGAGAAAGATGCTTTGCCAAAAAGAATCTAATTACATCCGTCTTAAGAGAGCCAAAATGGACAAGTCTATGTTTGTGAAAATAAAGACATTAGGAATAGGCGCATTTGGGGAAGTTTGTCTAGCAAGAAAAGTAGATACCAAGGCTTTGTATGCCACAAAAACTCTTCGAAAGAAAGATGTCCTACTTCGAAATCAAGTTGCTCATGTAAAAGCCGAGAGAGATATCCTGGCAGAAGCTGACAACGAATGGGTAGTCCGTCTCTATTATTCGTTTCAAGATAAGGACAATTTATATTTTGTGATGGATTACATTCCTGGGGGTGATATGATGAGCCTGTTGATTAGAATGGGAATCTTTCCAGAAAATCTGGCACGTTTCTACATCGCAGAGCTTACCTGTGCAGTCGAAAGTGTCCATAAAATGGGTTTCATTCATAGAGATATTAAGCCTGATAACATTCTGATTGATCGTGATGGTCATATTAAATTGACTGACTTTGGCCTCTGCACTGGCTTCAGATGGACTCATGATTCTAAGTACTATCAAAGCGGTGAGTAAAATCATAAAAGTTTTCGGTGCATATTAGTGTGACTTATTAATGCAATTTATTGTAAGATGGTATTATCACTGGATGGGTATCAGAAGTCCTGATTCAGGTCTTAAATGTGTTTAAATGAGGGCGACTTCTTTAGATTGATGCAGTGAAAAGTATGTTAGATTTGTTTTGCAGTATCAATAACATCTTTTCAGTGAACCTTTTCACATTTTGTCAGCGTAACATGTCAGAAGATAATGTCTAAGAATTTTCACTTAGGAAGATTGTTCGGGTCATACTTGGCAGTTCAAGCCCCCCGCCACCCTCCACCCTTGCTTAGTGTTTGAGTGGTGCTTGGGGGCCCAGACAGGGTCTAGGGATCCAACTTGGGTCTCTTACTTACATAAGTCACGTACTAAGCCATTGAGCTCCCTCCCACCCAGAAATTCTTAATTCTACCTGCTCATGACTCATTGTCATTTTGAGTACATGAGTGAATCACATGTTTTCTAAGTGTAAAGCCTATTCTTTCTGTATCTTGCAGACTTCCCCAGTGATTGGGCGCATCTGTATCAAAACAAAATGTTAAAAAAAAAATCAAACAGACTTGAGGGTTCCCCATGTTATTGTGGTTTTCTTTCTTCGTTATCTAGGTGACCATCCGAGGCAGGATAGCATGGATTTCAGTAATGAGTGGGGCGACCCCTCCAACTGTCGGTGTGGAGACAGACTGAAGCCCCTGCAGAGGAGAGCTGCACGCCAGCACCAGCGATGTTTGGCACATTCTTTGGTTGGAACCCCCAATTATATTGCCCCTGAAGTGTTGTTACGGACAGGTAAAGCATTTATTTCCCAGATAATTTCGATGGCCCTTTAGACCAGCTAGAATTTAAATTAGAATATGCCAGGGTTGTGGAGGGTGGAGAGACAGTGTAGCGGGTTAGGCACTGCCTTGCACACAGCCCTACCCAGTTCAATCCCCAGTATCCCATAGGCACTGCCGGGAGTAATTTCCCATGTGCAGAACCAGGAGTAACCCTGATCACTGCTGGGTATGACCCCAGAATTAAAAAATACATACATAAATTATAATATCCCTGGTTAGTCAGGTTTCTAATAAAATGAACTTTCTGGCAAAATTGGTAACATAAATTTTGAGTTTATTTTGAGCATTAAAAGTGTTTATAACATTGTGTTCTTTTAGGTTACACACAATTATGTGATTGGTGGAGTGTGGGTGTCATTCTTTTCGAAATGTTGGTGGGACAACCTCCTTTCTTGGCACAAACACCACTAGAAACACAAATGAAGGTAAGGTATAGAACCTACACTATAGTCCCTAAACTGTAGGCCTTTATTCACCCCTCTTTCCCTTAGAACATCTTACTGGTGAATTTCACGAACGAACCTGTAAGCATGCAAGAACTGACTAAAATATCCTGCATTGACTACTCAATCATCCTGCTGTCATCACACATTCCTCTGTTGAAGATGGAGGTTGAGTGACACATTCGTTCTGGTGCTGGGGTTACATGCGCTTGCAATTGGGGATCACACACTTGGTGATGTGGGGTGGTTGTAGGAATCGAACCGAGGCCCTCGTGTATGCAAAGTCCCAGAACCACTGTGCTCTTTCCCTCAACTTGACTCATACACTGTTCTCCTATGTCAGTCTCGGAGAAAACTTCAACACTTTCTCTCCACACCTGGCATGCTCAGAGGCTGCTTCTAGGGAACCAAGCAGTGCTGAAGGTTTGACCTGGACCTCCTCCATACACAACATGCACGCTAGTCCTTTGCACTCTCTCCTTGGCCCTTTAATAGACTTTGATGATTTTCTTTTCCAGTTGATTCTTTGTCACTCACTTCCTTCTGGCTTTATTGCCTTCCTTCCCTGCAAGGCCCCAGAGATGATCCCTAGTACCACATGGCATTTGGCCAGGACCTCTAGGTATAGCCCTGGCCAGGTTGCGTGAGTATCATAGGAGTTGTCCACAAGCCCCCCTGAGCACTGCTCAGGATGCGCCCACACTTCACCACCCTACTCCCAAAAGAAAAAAAAATCTCAGGGAAGCTGCTAAAAACCCCACGGGATAAGTGAGTTTAGCAATAGTGTGAATAAAGGTAATCAAGTGTAGAATAGGGTCTAGAAAATGACACAGTGCCTTAAGCACTTGTAAAAATTCCCATATACGTGAATTCCCATATACTAAGTATTGTGCGAGAAATTAGGGTGATACCTAAGGAGGGCAGACACTTGCCTTGCATGTGGTTGCTGTGCTCACAATTCTAGTTCAAATCTCCTGGTACCACATACGGTTCCTCAGAGCACCACAAAGGGTTACTTCTGAGCACAGAGCCAGAAATGGTTCTTGAGTATCATGGGGTGGCCCCCAAACAAAACAAAACAAACCATAGAATCCTACCGTAGGGGCCCAGAAAACGGCTCAGTGGCATAAGTACTTGCCAAACAAGCATGAGACCAAGAGTTCAAAAACCTGTGACTTACTGTAATTTCACAATATGCAGACTTGAATCATTAGGAGCCAGAGAGATAGTATAGCAGGTAGGGTGCTTGCCTTGCATGTAGCCAACCCGGGTTTGCTCCCTGGCAACTTTTATGATCCCCAGAGACTACCAGGAGTATTTCTTGAATGCAGAGCCAGGAGTAATTCCTGAGCACCACCAGGTGTGGCCCCAAAGCAAAACAAAACAAAACAAAAAGTATACTGGGACTGAGGATGTAGCTTAGCGCTAGAGCTCAGTCACATGTGACGCCTTGGATTTGAACTTTTACACTGAAAAACAACCTTGTGAGATATATGTGTGTGTGTGTATATATATATGTATATATATATATATTAATTTCCCTCAAAATGGCTTAGAGCTTATTGTTAGTTGTAGCATTTCTGTGGTCTAACCTGGGGGAAGAAGACTCTAAGTTGAATAGAGACAAGAAGGGATTTGTTTTTCTTCCCTTTACAGTATCTGATAAGCTCTTATGTTGTTTGGTTTTAATATAATAGGGCCAGGACATAGTACAATGGTCATATGCTTGAACCCAGGTTCAATTCCTGGCTTCACATGATCCCCACAGCATTACCAGGTGGACCCCTGGCGCCCCCTGAGCACTTCCAGGCGTGGCCTTGTCAGCCACCATGGCGTTGCAGGGCTCAAGTCACATCACACCACAGATAGGGAAGCGTAACAGGAGCTAACGTTTACAGCGAGTCTGTAGTAGGAGTAGAGGAGAGTGGACGAAGGTCCATTTCCCCCCAGTGACTCCTTGAGGGTATAGGAGGTGAAATGCCATGCAGTTTATTTTTAAAAAATAAGAATAGTTCAGTAAAACTACTTGGTCTAAAATTTAAAGGAATTCTTTGTTTTCCTTATTTAACTTCTGATTTTTTTAAAAAAATAATCTTCTTTACAGGTTATCAACTGGCAAACATCTCTTCACATTCCATCACAAGCTAAACTGAGTCCTGAAGCTTCTGATCTTATTATTAAACTTTGCCGAGGACCAGAAGACCGTCTAGGCAAGAATGGTGCTGATGAAATAAAAGCTCACCCATTTTTTAAAACAATTGATTTCTCTAGTGACCTGAGACAGCAAGCTGCTTCTTACATTCCTAAAATCACACATCCGACAGATACATCCAATTTTGATCCTGTTGACCCAGATAAGTTATGGAGTGACGATAATGAGGAAGAAAACGTAAACGACACTCTGAATGGATGGTATAAAAATGGAAAGCACCCTGAACATGCTTTTTATGAATTTACCTTCCGGAGGTTTTTTGATGACAATGGCTATCCATATAATTATCCAAAGCCGATTGAATATGAATATATTAATTCACAAGAAGCCGAACAGCATTCAGATGAAGATGATCGGCATGCAGGCTCAGAGATCAAAAATCGTGATCTAGTTTATGTTTAACACACTAGAAAATAATTGTAGTAAGAAGTTGCAAAAAAGATCCGAAGCCCAGGTTTTTTTGAGACTCTGAGGAAAAATAAAATATGCAAGTGTGACAGAGCTATGTATGTATGTATGCTCTGTTTACATTATTTAATGTTTCTAAATTATGGGAAATTCTTTTTAAAGTGTTAATTTATTCCAGCTTTTGTAATCAGTAATTTAGAAAAAAATTGTTATAAAGTAAATTATGAACTGAATACTATATAGTCAGTTCTTGGTACTTAAAGTACTTAAAAATAGTGCTTTGTTTAAAAGGAGAAGTCTGTATCTAAATGTGTACATATGCGAGATAATTTTAAATGACAAGCTTTGGAAAATTTTCTGAAAGACAGTTTTAGTTTTATTTTGCTTTAACCAAATATGAAACATCCCATATTTACAAGATCTTCTACTCTCATAACCTGGTTTTGGTACAAAATAAGTTGGAGAAATGAAACCATCGTGATGGTGAGTGCTACTAGGCTAGTGATAATGGCATAATTCACATCTTAAAGCCAAGAAATATAGGGTTGAAATACGTTACCAGATGTTAGGTAAAGTTTACCTGTTATTTTTTCAGAGGCGGAAAACGTTTTTTTCTCCCAAGAGTATTTAATCTAGCATTATTTAAGAATTACTGTCCAAGTTGGAGATATAGTGCAGGAAGTAAGATGCTTGCCTTGCATGTTGCTGACCCTGCATTCATCCTCAGCACCACAAAATGATCCCAACAGCACTGCCAGAGGTCACTCCTTAGCACAGGGCCCTTGAGCACATCTGGTTCAAGCACCTCCACCCCAAACTAAAAGATACTGGGCCGAAAGAGAGAGTACAGCAGGCAGGGGGCTTGCCTTGCAATCAGCCAACCAGGATTCTGCCCCACACGGTCCCCTCTATCCTTTAAGGAGTGATCCCTGAGTGCAGAGCCAGGAATAAGTCCTGAGCACTGCCATATATGGCCCAAAACAAATAAAAATAATAAAAAAGTATTGACTTTAAAAGGAGCAAAACAACTTGAAGGGTTGGTTTTTCTTCTCCCATATTGGAATATTATTTATTGTGATTCTTGTAGTAAGCTTCACCACTTCGTTTACTCGTGGTTCAGTGCTCAGGAATCACTCCTGACATTGCTTGGGGGGACCATCGGTGGTGCCGGGGATCTGAATTGGGGTGCATTGCAGGGAAAGGCAAGGCAAGTACCTTCCCTCCTGTATTAGCTCTCTGGCCCCTCATATTTGTATCTTAATGCTGCTTCCAGTATTAAAAGGGGGGAAAAAAAGGTCCATAAATCAAAATTTGTTAATAAAAGCCAAGATATTTTTTTTCTACTTGAAAAAAATCTTTTAGTTCACCATTCTAAACAGACTATTTTTAGTTTAATACAATTTTTTTTTTGACGACACTTTCTGGGACACGCCTGGGAATGCTCAGGAATTACTCCTGGTTCTGCACTCAGAAATTACTCCTGGCATGCTCAGGGTTCCATATGGGGTACGGGGAATCAAACCCGAGTTGGCCATGTGCAAGGCAAACACCCTACCCACTGTCCGATCGCTCTGCCCTCCCCCCCATATCATCAGTAATATTAAAGGTTTTTCTCTTTCAGAAAGTAGTGCCGCATATGTGAATTGTTAACTAGCGAAGGAAAGTCTGACTGTTGGGCAGTATTTTACCGAGGAGCATATTAAATGGTAAAAATGTCATTTTTATCTTTTAACTAAGGTGCCATTAGTAATTAGAGTTACTTAATGGTTTTAGATATTTCAAATTACCCTTAGGAGTAAATATGTTTCAGCCTGCCTGTGAAATGCAGTGTTTAGGATTTAAAGAATACTTCAGGATTCACACCAAAATACCTATCTTTTTTTAGGAAGGGGACAAGGACTCTTCTAACAGCAGTGAAATTAGTATTTCATTTCCTTTTCTTAAGCCTCACTGATAGAGAATTTTTTCATTCACATAATATTTGTGGATAACAATTTTAGTGATTTCCAAATGTTGGCTTCATAAAAACTCATGGAAACAGTTAAAAGTAAAATTAACGGCAGAGTTCTTCCTTTTGAATTAGGAGAGCAGAAACTTATTGGCCCATACTTGCCACTGTTCTCTAAGTGGCCCTGTCAGAGCTCAGCTTGTAGACTGCTGTGTAGCCCACAATGGATGGGTCTTCGAGGGCCATTCGTCCTTTCAAGAACTGATGAGAGTTCTGGCCATTGGTCCCATAATATTGCACGTCAACACACAGAATGTTACGTGAAGTTTTGGGGATTATGGACGTGTTGAAATTAATCTCAGAGTCTTAGGTGAAGAGCTTCTTTTAGGACAGCATTGATACATATCACACTGAGAACTTTGCCTTAAATTTTTAGATCAGCACTCAAAGTATATCTTAGATAAATACTGACAGTTTGTCATGGATAAGGTCCATCCCATGTCATGAGATATCCCTATGTATGACTCTCTCCCTGGCTGTGTTCAGTAGAGTGACTAAGTTCTTGAATACAAGCATTTCTGCTGTATAACCAATGAACTGAGGCAGTTTTTGGTCACTGAAAAATCAAATTAGTTGGCAGCGTAGTTTCAACTTTGATCTATACAGTGAAGAGCAGAGGTAGTTCTAACAACTACGTGTATTGACTTGATACCTACAGCGTATTGGCGTATTTGTAACAGCTTTCCATTGTATTCCAGCAACCTACACTGTTGTTTGTTCTTGGCATACTGTCACTTGTCTGTTGATAGACATGCCCAAATAGATGTCTTTGTAAAGTGTGGATTAAATCTTGGGCCTTTAAAGCCCTCACCTTGTTCTTGAATGGGTTTCAAAAGAAGAAACCCACTCGCAATGAAGAAGCATCATCTGTTTTTCTTAATAACACTATCAGTAACATGACCAACAAAGAAAGTGAACACTACAATGAATTTTAAGTTTTATGTTAATTTCACCTTCAATAAGTTGGCTAAAGATAGCTGATAAAGGGAATGGGGCAGTAGCTCAAAGGACTAGATCTCTAGGAAGCCCCAGGTTCAAGCACAGCAGGGAGTGCGCACCTGCCCGCCCCCCTCCCCCAAATAAAGGATGGCATTAGTGAAAAAGCTGCTGTATTTAAATGAAAGAATAAATCAGGGTTGAGAGATAGCTCCACAACCTGGAATATGCACTCGGCATAAGGGAAACCTGGGTCTTGTCCCTGCCACCACATGGTCCCCTGAGCACTAACAGGGCTCAGAAAAAAAAAGAGAACTGATAATCAGTGCTCTTGAGGATCAATGTGAATTACAGCTGTTTTTCTGGTTATCATAGCTTGATAAACTTTAGGGTTTGAAAGATGGGAGGGATGGCTGTCCTCACCATAGGATTTGCAAACATGTTATTTCCCAGTAGGTTTTTTTTTTTTTTTATAATTGAGAATCTATGGTTTACAATATTATTAATATTTTCTCTTTCCCAGTAGGTTCTGTCAGCATACTTCCTATCAAGTCTTTATGCATAGCTCTTAACCTGTTCTAAGACCATCTTATCTCTTAATCACTGTATAGGCCATTATGAAGGCTAAGATTTATAACTAGAAATTCTACTATTTTCTCAGTTGAAACCAAGTTCTCGGTTATTTTGTACATTATTTGGGGGGGGGGGCAGTTCTCCAAGCACTGCTTGGAGACCACCAGGGCCACACCTCATAATTCTTGGGGGATCTTTTGGTGCTGGGACTTCAGCTGCAAAGCACACTCTCCCACCTAGCCCTGTTTTGTGTTTTTTGTTGCTGCAGTGCTGGGCATTAAACCCAGGGCCTTACCCATGCAAGGCAAGTGCTCTGTTGCTGATCTCCATGTACGTGCCTTGTCACTTTGACCTGTTTTTAAAGCATAAGGTCCTTATGACTATAATTAGGTATGTGACAGAAATCTTTGCAGTGAAGAACTTATGATGAATCTACCTAGAGCCCTTACTGAAGTTCTCAGCACTAAGCTTAAACACACCCTTTAAAGAGCTCTGAAATAAGCATTTGGCTCACAGGAATGGTAGAGAAGGATTTTCAATTAGAGAGTTTTACTAAGTACACTGTAATAATATGACAGTCTTCGTTCATGGCATATCTAATTAGTTCTATAAAATTCTATGGAAAGCAAGTTATAGAATTTTTTAGCTCAGTACTTCAGCTCACTACTCACAGCCCCAAGGTACTGGTCTTGGGCTGGAGTAGTAATACAGTAGGTAGGTGCTTGCCTTGCACACAGCTGACCAGAGTTTAGGCCCCAGTTCTACGTATGATCCCTGGAACCCAGTAAGGGGTAAGCCCCAAACACCCCTGGGTGTGGCCCCACACGAAGAAAGATACTGGTCTTATGCTTCAAGACTTTCAGTCAGATTTGTTTCCGTGTACTTGTATTATATCTGGACTATGGTGCATTATAGTACAAGATGAGTTTTGTTACATTTGTGTCCTAGGAAATCAAAGGTGCTGTGTCCTGACCAAATCTGTGTTGCCCTTATTCCTCAACGTAACAGACACTACAAATTGAATTTTTCCTTTAAAGTGTCCTTTCAACAGCACAAATAAGCTTCTTGTGTTTTCCTGAGCAATGTACACGGCTGTTTGGTATCTCCCAGTTTTTTTAAGTTTGATCTATTTATTCCCAAACTACATCCAGTTCTTCCAGAATCTGGTGCTTCCTGACCAAAAAGATAAGAATAAGGTAAACAGTCTCTATGCTCTCAACTGAAAAGGAGTGAAACATTGGTTCTACATGTCTTCTTTTAAAAACAATTTCCTCCTTCACTAAAAAAACTTGCTGTCTTTCTTAAACATGTCCCTTTTATGCATATCAATAGTATTTATAAAATGTGTTCTATAATTATGTAATTGTAGATACTGTTGTGTATTGTCCAGTGACACCCTAAGGCAGGCCCTATTGCTGTATCTTTTCTACCTTGTTTGTAATAGAAACTATAGAATGTATGACTAAGAAGTCACTTTGAAATTGACTTTTTAAAAAAGTTTTTACCTTCTGCTGTTGCAAAGTGCAAAACTGTGAGTGGAAATGTTTTATTCTGACTTAATAATATGTTAGAAATTAGATTATACAGTGGAGGATTTTTAGATATTGCTGCTGCTGTTACCTAAGGTACTTTAGAAATTTTCTTTAATAAACAAAAATGAACAAAAAAAATCCCTTTGGTATTTAAAGTGAGACATTTATCCTTTTTTAATCTAAAGCAAAAAGTAATTTGAGTCAACATATTGGTATATTTGCAAAGAGCCTTAATATATCCCTTGTGGAAGGCACTATACCACAGTTTACTTTTATATTGTATTGTATATATGTATTTTGTATTAAAATTGAATCAGTGACAATACTACAGTTTTATAAAATAATGCTTTTAGGAAAAGGAATTCCAGCTTTGCAAGATAACTAAATTTTGCATACTTCTGAATGTAACAGATACGAATAATCAGCTGTTTTTGATGAATCTATTTGTACTTTCCAATAATTTTCACTAATGTAACATTTGCTGGGATAATAAAAAAAAATCAAATCTTTAAAATATGTGTGGAGATTTTACTTACGCCACTTACAAATATTAACTTTGGGGGGCCAGAGAGATAGTGCAGTGGGTAGGGCATTTGCCTTGCATGTGGCCAACTTGGGTTTGATGCCCAGCATCCCATATGGTCCCCTGTGCACTGCCAGGAGTGCTTCTTGAGCACAGAGTCAAGAGTAACCCGTGAGTACCACGGGGTGTGGCTCAAAAAAACAGAAAAGAATGTTTTTTTAAGTCAAAACTTTCCTTTTAGAATACCGAATGCCCTAAACAAACCCCATGACCTCTTAGCACCTATATTGCAAACCATAATGCATAAAAGAAAAGGAGAGGGAGAGTGAAAAGGAAAGTGCCTCCCATAGAGGGAGGCTGGGGGTAGGAGGTGGGGAAATGTACACTGGTGGAGGGGTGGTAGCTGGATCATTGTATGAATGAAATCCAGTTATGAACAGCTTTGTCTATCTCATAGATATCCAATTAAAAAGTTTTTTTAAGGTAATGTGGGGAAAAAGGAACGCTCTTTCACTGTTGGTGGGAATGCCCACTAGTCCAGCCTTTCTGGAAAACAATATGGTCAGCCCTTCAAAAACTAGAAGTTGAGCTTCCATATGACCCCACAATACCACTTCTGGGAATATATCCCAAGGATGCAAAAAAAGGCAAAGTAGAAATGACATCTGTATCTGTATGTTCATTGCAGCACTGTTCACAATAGCCAAAATCTGGAAAGAATCCAAGTGCCCTAGAACAGATGACTGGTTAAACTTTGGCACATCTACACAATGGAATACTATGTAGCTGTTAGAAAAGATGAAGTCATGAAATTTGCTTATAAGTGGATAGACATGGAGAGTATCATGCTATGTGAAATGAGTCAGAAAGAGAGGGACAGACACAGAAGGACTGCACTCATTTGTGGGTGTAAAACAACATAACATGAGGCTGACACCTAAGGATAGTAGATACACGGGACAGGAAGATTGCTCCATGACTGGATGCCTGCCTCATGAGCAAAGGCAAGAAGGAAGCTGGAATAGAGAAGGGATCACTAAGAAAAGGATGGCTGGAAGAACTGGTCGGGATGGCAGATGTGTGCTGAAAGTAGATACTGGACCAAACATGATAACCTCTCAGTATCTGCATTGCAAACCATAATGCCCAAAAGTAGAGAAAGAGTATGGGGAATATTGTCTGCCATGGAGGCAGGGGGAGGGTGGGAAAGGGGGGATATACCAGGGATATTGGAGGTGGAGAATGTGCACTGACGGAGGGATGGGTGTTTGATCTTTGTGTGATTGTAACCCAAACATGAAAGCTTGTAACTATCTCACGGTGATTCAGTAAAATTTTAAAAAGTAATAGTAAAGTAATGTGGAGTTCATGCCCAGTTCAATCAGCTTAATCAATGACTGAATAAATAGCAGTACTCCTACAATCAAAAAAAAAATTCCTTTTAGGAGCTGGAGAAATAGCTGGAAGGGCTAGAGTGCTTGCTTTACACACACAGGAACCTCAAGGTCAATGCCTGGTGCACTGCGTGATAATCCACCACTCACGCTCTGAGTATGCCCCAACAAAGCATTCACCTTTCACCTCATTTCCAGAGAACACTAATGATTTTTGAAAACATAATGCCTTGGAATTAAATATGTTAATGCTGAATATAGAATTAATGGCAACACCTTGGTGGAGTAAGGCAAATAGTATAACCTAAATGTTTGCTTTTTGTCAAACATAAGTATAACAATGCTTTAAAAAAAAATGTTTAGCACTGAGGTTGGAGCGATAGTACAATGGGTAGGGCGTTTGCCTTGCACGCGGCTGACCCGGGTTTGATTCCTAGCATCCCATATGGTCCCCCGAGCACCAGCAGGAGTAATTCCTGAGTGCAAAGTCAGGAGTAAGTAACCCTTGGGCATCGCCGGGTATGAACCAATCACAATCAATCACAACCATCCTGTTATTCGTCGATTGCCTCGAGCAGGCCCCAGTAACGTCTCTTCGTCCTAGCCCTGAGATTTTTTTTAGAAAGTGCCATATTCAAGGCTCTTTCAGAGTTAGGAGGATGAGACCCTTCATTGTTACTGGTATTTGGCATATTGGGTACGCCACAGTGAGTTTGCCACTCTGCCGTGTGGGCACATTACATTTCGTAGCCTGCCAGTTTGTCTAAAGTAGGAATGAGATAAGATGTCGCGCTTCCAGGAGCTGAATTTTATAGTCTCTGAATCTTGGCCGTTGATGGGATTACACGGCGCCAGGGGGCCAGTTGGTGGGTGTGACCCACCACCTACTGGAATTTGGAGGATCTGGGTGGAGGATGCTCAGCCCCAATCTGAGTAGGCTTGGAGATCTCGGCCCCGGAACCCGCGTGGCTTTGTCCCTCTGCCGGTACCTTCATGTGTGCGGAGAGTGGTCTCAGCATGGTGGTGGCTGGTTCTGGCGCCGTGTAATCCCATCAACGGCCAAGATTCATAGACTATAAAACCCAGCTCCCGGAAGAGAACAGCACAGAGACTCCTGCCCCCACGCCTGGCTGTCCTCACTGGGGCCCCTTGGAGGGGAGCGGGTTGAGTTTTCCTCCCCGCCCTGACCAGGGCTCCGGCAGCCGAAGACGTCCAGGACCAGACACCACCATGCTGAGACTACTCTCCGCACACATGAAGGTACTGGCAGAGGGACAAAGGCATGCGGGTCCCGGGGCTGAGATCTCGAAGCCTGCTCGAATTGGGGCTGGGCATCCTCCACCCAGATCCTCCAAATTCCAGTAGGCGGGGGTCACACCCACCACCTGGCCCCCTGGCGCCGTGTAATCCCATCAGCGGCCAAGACTCAGAGACTATAAAAATCAGCTCCCGGAGGGAGAATAGTGCAGTCTCCTGCCCCTGCGCCTGGCTATTCCTCGCAGGGGCCCCTTGGAGGGGAGCGGGTTGAGCTTTCCTCCCCACCCCGACCAGGGCTCCGGCAGCCGAAGACCTCCAGGACCCGCCAACAGCCAAGACTAAGAGACTATAAAATCCAGCTCCCGGACGAGAACAGTGCAGTCTTCTGCCCCCGCGCCTGGCTGTTCCTCGCCGGGGTCCCTTGGAGGGGAGCGGGTTGAGCTTTCCTCCCCGCCCCGACCGGGGCTCCGGCAGCCGAAGACCTCCAGGACCAGCCACCACCATGCTGAGACCACTCTCCGCACACGTGACCCAAAAAGCAAAAAAAAAAAAAAAAAAAAACTTTTCAGATTTATTATCCCATTCCACATTTATATATTTGAGTCCTGTTTATGTCTTTTTTAAATGTGAAGTTTTGGGTTCAACTATTTTAGCATATGTACTATATAATGTAATATATATATATATTTGTTATACCACAAGTCAATTTTATGGGGGACAGGGATATAGCTCCATAGGGAACTCTTGTCTTGCATCGGGTTGATTTCCAGCACTGCAAAAATGGGAAAAATTTTTATTTTACACTCATGAATAAATCTTAAGGGTGTCCTTTTTCCTTTAATAGTTGTCTTATTTTTACCGTAGCACTGTAGCACTGTCCTCCCATTGTTCATTGATTTGCTCGAGCGGGCCCACTAATGTCTCCATTGTGAGACTTGCTGTTTCTGTGTTTGGCATATTGAATACATCACGGGTAGCTTGCCAGGCTTTGCCATGTGGGCGAGATACTCTCGGTATCTTGCCAGGCTCTCCGAGAGGGGCAGAGGAATCGAACCCGGCTCAGTCGGGCTGGCTGTGTGCAAGGCAAACGCCCTACCGTTGTACTATCGCTCTAGCCCAAGTTTTATTATGGCTTTATAAAATTATATTTTGCACTCCCTTATAAAATTATATTTAGCTTATATGAAGTTGCTGTAAAGTAATATAAATTGTGCTTTTTTCCACTTTACTATATTGGGGACCCACACTTGACATGCTTAAAATTGCACCAATACTTTGCTAATGGATGTGAAGGGTAGAGGGAGTATGTCTTTCATATATAAAAATTGACGAGTACTGGCTTGGAACGCCTTCAAGAACGTCGAAGAAATAGCTAAGAGGACGAAGAACCTCCGGCTCCGGGCACATCTCTTTGATTCCACTGTTCTTCCTGCATTAACACACGCCTCAGAGATCTGGGCCCTACGCAAACAAGATGAAAATGCTATTCAGGTCTCCCAAAGAGGAATCGAAAGAGCCATGCTTGTTATATCACGTTTCACTCAAAAGAGAGAAAGAATCCGGAGTCCCGACATCCGTCGACGATCAAGAATCAGGGACGCTGTCTCATTTGCCAAAGTGTCAAAAATCATATGGGCTGGTCACGTAATGAGATTTAAAGACGACCGCTGGACTAGAGCTGTTACCGACTGGATCCCACGGGATGTCAAAAGAACGCGTGGCCGCCCACCTACCAGATGGTCAGACTTCTTCATCAAGATCGTGAACGATAGGTTTGAGGCTCTTCATGTTCCCAGAGCGAACCGATGCCATTGGGCTACACTGGCACACGACAGGGATGAATGGAGACGTTACTGGCGCCCGCTCGAGCAAATCGACGACTAACGGGAAGTTAAGTGATTAAGTGATATAAACATGAAGGTGTGCTGAATTTTGGAGACAATTTATAATTTGAAAGCTTCTCAGACCCTTGTATGCTGCCCATGTCAGTTTGATTCCTGGTTCCATATTTTCCTTGAGGACTGCCACTAACATGGCCACATTGACAACTAAGGAAAGGGAAGATGGAAAAGAATAGATGACCAGAGAGATCAGATGGTACAGTAGTTAAGATACTTGCCTTGCACCCAGTCAACCTGGGTTTGATCCCCAGCACCCAGTTTGGTCTCAGAGCCTGGGAATTGAACCAGGGTCGACTGCGTGCAAGGCAAATGCCCTACCCACTGTGTTATCACTCTAGCCCCATATGAGCTATCTTTCTGACCCTACATACAGTTTTGTGTCTTTATCTGCTTCAAGTCCTGTCCACACATGCAAGGCTAATGATTCGTTCAG